AAAAAAAAAAAAAAAAAAAAAAAAAAAAGGATTGCTTTGGGCTGGGGATTTAGCTCAGTGGTTCTGGTGCCTGCCTCACAAGCACAAGGGCCTGAGTTCGATCCTGGTACAAAAAAACAAGCAAACAAAGAAGTCTCTGGCACATATGGACCACAAGTGCCAAGGCCAAAGAAGCCGCAGCTCCAGCAACTGCTACAGGGAGTCGTTCCTGTGCCCAGCCCAGTGCCACAGATGAGCAGGGCCCAGATGCATGGTCCCTTGTGGGCCTCTCCTCAGACACAGACAGAGGGACAATGGCACATTTCACCTGGGATAGATGAAAATGTTCACCTACCCCCAATGCCTGTGCAGGTGTTATGTAATGATCACACAATCCGTACACTCCTGCATCCCGCTTTCCTCTATTTTAGTTTTCTTTTTTGCAGTACTGGGGATTGAACCCAGAGCCTTCACACTGAGCTACGTCCCCAGCCCTTCTTATTTTTTATTTCAAAACAGGGTCTTGCTAAGTCATTAAATTGTCCAGGCTAGGCTCAAACTTGTGATCCTCCTGCCTCAGCCTCCTGAGTTCTGGGGTTACAGGTGTGCACCATCGTGCCTACCTGCCTTCCTCAACTTTTCATAAACACTCTCCACCGCCTTCAGTGTCTGGATCAGCACCTTTATCCTGGATTAACACCTGCAGAGCGATGGCTCTTTATCTCTCTTCTCACTGACTGCAGGTTGGCGTCCAATTTTTCACTGTTAAATTTCTGGTTCATTTCCTTGTGTGTAATGGAGTTTTTTCCTTTTGGGATTTACTTCCTCAAAATAAATTTGCAGAGATGAGCTACCGTGAGTTAGAACACACATTTACAGTCCCTAAGTACACACACAGCTCATCATTTCTTTGCTTGGGCTAATCTTGGGCTATCGGGCGATTATCAGTCCAGGGTCCACAGCGGTCCCCACAACAGACACACACGGTGACATCCCCAGGGCCAGGGCCTGACACCAGCAGCCCCGTAGCTCATCACACTCTCACCTTGCACTGCAGTATAACAACTGCGAAATGATGCCTCACTTGGGGCTTACCTAGGGCACTGCTGAGGACCAGACCTGGGCTGGGGAATGTTAAGCACCTGATCCACACCCATAGCCCCCTTTTTTGTGGTATTGGGGTTTAAACACATGACCTGGCTCATATGACCATGTTTTCCCCCAAAAAAAGACCTAACTGGAAAAGAAGCCCCAGTATGATGTCTCAGGATGCTCATACTGTAAACCTCCCTAAAAAACAGGCCCCACTTAAGATCATCAGCCAAGCCTGGCATTGTGGTAAACACTTGTATTCCTAGCATTTGGGAGGCTGAGGCAGGAGGATCACTTTGAGTCCAAGGACAGCGTGGGCTACATAGCAAGACCCTGTCTCAAAAGAAAACAAAAATCATCAGCCAGATGGACGTATTTGGTACATCTGTTGCAACACATGATGATTTGCTGAATTATAAAATAATACTATTAATATATAATTAAATATAAATAATATTATTGACATCGATACTTAAAATAAATGATAGTGTAAGTTGTAGTTAAATACTTGTAAATAACCAAGCAGGTGCCTTTGGATGAGAGAGAAATGCCTGTATAAACAAATGTGCTCAGTGGGGCCAGGGATGTAGCTCAGGGGTGCAGCCGCCTGCCTCACAAGAGCAAGGTCCCAGTTTGATCCCCAGTACCAAAACAAACAAACAAACAACAGATGTGCTCAAGACTTGTTGCTGAACGAGCAATCAGATACAGACACAATGCATGAAAAACGTGTGTGCTCGAGGACTAGTGGACATGGCTGTGTCTACCATGAATCTTCATAATTCTATAGGTCTCAGGTTGTAACAAATGTACTTAATACACTCATGCCAAACAAAGAGATTTTTTCTGAATATTGGGGCCTGCAATTTTTCATCACTTTTACATGGTCCACCATTCTTAACTGTCATCATTTTTGTTGCCCCTCCTGTCTCGTCTTCCGTTAATCCCGGATTTAATGGAAACTCTGTGAGGTCCAGCCTGCAAGAGGTCATGTCTTGGGTGAAGACTTTGTGGGGTAAAATCACTGACAGCTGTGCTGCCAATGCACCCAGAGCAGGCTGCCTGGACAAGAACTGCTCCTTTCCAGCACCTGCCTGCCTGAGTTTGATCCCCAGTCACCTCCCTGCAAAAAGTGCTCATTTAAGAAGAGCTCTATCGTGGGACGTGAAAGAGTGGGGCCAAGGGTTTTACAGGAAATGGAGTTACAAGAAATTCAGGGTGAACCAGGGATTTAGCTCAGTGGCACCACACCAGCCACAGAGCTGCACCCCAACCTTTTTTTTTTTTTCTGGTACCAGGGCTCGAACTCAGAACCTTGCACTTGCAAGTCAGGTGCAGCACCACTGAATCACATCCCAGGCCCCCTTAACCCTTATTTTTTTACTTTGAGACTGGGTCTCATTACACTGTCCAGGTTGAGCTTGAACTTATATGATCTTCCTGCCTCAGGTGTGCACTGCTGCACGAGGCTTGATATGTTTGTTGTTGTTGTTGCTGTTGTTGTTGTTGCTTTGAGACAGGGCCTTGCTATATAGTTCAGGCAGGCCTTGAACACACTATGTAGTCCAGGCTGGCCTCGAATTCATAGTGATACCCCTGCCTCAGCCTCCTGAGTGCTGAGTGCTGGGATCACAGGCATGCATGACGGTGCCTGGCCTGGTATCTCATTTCTAAACTTCTCTGTGGTAAGACTGGACATACCTGAAATTGGCCACTCGGCAGGCCCATGGAGGGACTGGAGCAACAGCCCTCTGTGGCCAGATCTGGGGTAGACACCCAGCAGTCAGTCCAGGCAGACCCTGTAAACAGGACCCAGGGACATTATGAAAGCTCACTGGCTTGCTCCCCTGAAACTCAGCAGCATTCGGAGAGAGTTTGGGGGCCCAGGGGGAGTGCAAGGGAGACAGCGTTCCTAAGCCAGCACTGACCTGGGTATGTGTCCAATACTCTGACAACCCCAACCCCAACTTCTAGCCAGCTAGCAGCACTTCTATTTTCCTTGCCATCAGAACCCAGCCTGTTTGTTGAAGGATTGTGCCTACAATTCAGGAGAGAGGCAGCTCTCCAAGCTTCCTTTGCGGCCAGCAGAGCCATGAGCTCTGGCTTTGTATATTCCTGTTAAAAGGATGTATGCAGCCAGCACAGTACTCTAGCCTTCCTGCCTTTTCACTGCCCTAGACATAGATTGGACATTTATAGAGATGCAGCAACCATTTTGTAATCCTGAGGTATCAAACATGAGGAAAAACTAAAGATGCAAAATATACCAGTTGGGCATGACATCAGAAAAATGATGAACTAGGAAGCTCCCAACTCTTTTCACTGACAGAAACAGTGAAAAACCAAGCCAGTGTCGAGTTTGCTGGAGCTCCAGTA